TCCCTTATGTTTTTGTATTGAAATCTGCAAGCGACACGGTCTTTCGCGATTTCGTGACGCGACAAAAATGACGCGAGCATTCGATTCTTGGGGACGTCATAATCAATACTGACGGCCGCGAGTTACACAACTGAATATCATTAAACTGTGATAATACCTTGACTGTCCTTGTCTTTGTACAAAAGTGTACAAATATTGAATAGAATGTGAGAAATTATACATCAAGATGACTTGAAAACCGCATAGAGTTCAAAAGAATAACATAATTATAACAATAAATTCTACACTGTAACAAAAATCAACCTTTTAGAGAAATGTTTTGTAGCTAGCGGTTGAGGTCGCAAAAAAATGCAATAATTGTCAAAATCCACAATAATAAACATATTAATATTTGGAAACTTTTGAAATTGGAATTTACTCTACCGAAAACCTTAACACAATCTCCAATGTTTAAATTAAAGTAACACAAATAAAGTTTGTAGACCAAGTAAAAAAATATTGATCGTATAAACACAAAAATTGAAAAAGATATAACAGAAATTCAAATGTCAAATTTGTAGCGTGAGAAACCGATTTTCAAAAATATTTTAGTATTGGCAGCAACGATATTTATAGAACCGACAGATAAATTGCGATCTGCATGTAGAATAAAAAGTCGTTTGATTAAACTATGTCAAGCTTGTTTACATCTAACAAACTACAGAAGAGAAAGTCAAATTTAAAGTGACGTCACGTTGGTCGCATCACGCGATCTTCGGACTTCGCTAGAAAATCGTTCGTTTGCTCGCAGTAGTTTCTCCTCAGCTCAGAAACCACTACCAGCAGGGTATATTACATGTAACTGCTGGTAAGTTAACGTGTAGACATCAATCCACACTGGGTTGCTAGTATAGGAATATCTTTTATACATTAAGCCTGATTATTAAGACGTGCATACACAACAGTCCGCGTTTGTTGTTAAAACTTGCTGAAAGCACATTGCTATATAAACATCTAGAATGAACAATATACAAACTCATTATCGCCGCACAAACAAATATTACTAAAATTGGACTCCTTGTATAAGTATATAATATCTGTGAATAAAACTGCTGATAAGTTCATGAAATCATATTCAATAATCAATATTGTTTCAATACCTCTACTCTAGTATATCGAACACTATAAAACAGCAGATCTAAATATATTTGCTTTCAAGTATATCTCAAGTATATTGCCAGCTAAATAAAGCTATCCTTACCGCAATTTATATCCAAAGGCAAAGTATTGTTGATCGTTTCTGAAATCCTGAGAAGAATCAAGCGAGTACAATACAAAATAAAGTTTGACCGCCCCTCTTGTTTAAAAAACTTGCAGAATAATCATTTCCCCGTAATTGCGGACAGACACCCGGACACATTGATCGAGATCTTCCCAATATATTTGTCGCGCGAAAGACTGGGTCAAGCAAACGTGAAGAATAGGGAGCTGCCTAACGGCAGCAATTATACTCACAATTATTAAATAGTTATACAAATCTCTTATTCACTGCGTACAATCTCAGGAGATTGTACGCAGTGAATGTCAAGTGTTCAATGTCAAGTGTTCAATGTCAAGTTTTCAAAACGTAAAATCTTTTCGGCGTTCCTCTTAATATTTGACTTTGTTTTAGCTTTATTTTGCTCAGCAGCCCGTTACATAATACGATACGAACCACTATACCGTAATAACCGTATACTCCGAGCCGTAGGAAACATTTTTGTATTGGGGCTGATTAGTCAGGGGCGATTATTAGGTTATTATTTCCCTCTCAAACTTTACAGATTATCGCTAGTTTACAAATTATTGAGGGGCGGGGTGGGGGTGCGGGATGGGTTTTGTAAGTTGTTCAAATTCGTGTAGTTGTTAAATTTAATGTTTTTTCGTATTGTATTATCGGTAACGGGCCGCTGTAGTTGACGAAAGCTGTAGCGTATATACCCAGCCATAGGCCATATTGTTTGAATTATAATTTATATGCATGTATAAAACCACATCGATTCTCAATTCTATTTGCCATATCAAGTACAAGACTACAAAGTGTGAAAAGAATTAACATTATTTTTTTCACCCTGATGAAAAATCATAGTATACGTTTCTCTGAAGACATTTATTATGTACTTTTTCAAACATGAGCAGCAGTGTTTTATCAGATATAAAGATCATGATTTTTCTTTGCCAGTTTTAATCCTCATGAATTATTAATGATTTTTTGAAATACATATTAAACACTGTACAGCAACAAAGAATGTTTCATACGATTCTATTTGAAAGGTTTGCGAAAAAATTACATTAAAATGACTTAACTTGAAACCATAACTTCAATATTGGCGTGACGCTTCCACAAAAAACCCCGGCAAAAACTAAATAGACGACTAGGACTGATGAACAACGACATGCGCATCTCGTTGTTGATCAGCAACGACATGCATGATAAACAACGACATAAAGCTAAGCATGGTCAAGACTTGAATAATCTTAGAAAGAAACATTTAAATGTATATAGTTTCGTACAGTTTTGTTGTAACTTAGTTAATTCGTAATTTTGTACGTAAAATTTTGTCTTGTCGAACACGTTATATATTCAAAGTTATATTGCAGTAATATTCGTAAAAATAGTTTATAGACTTTATGAATACTTTATAATATATATATTATATATATATATTACGAACATAAAATCATTATTATATTATTACATACGTCATACGTCATAAGACTCAGACGTCGCACGTATATCATGAGGTAAACTTTCCGTATTAAAATGACCCTACTCACCATAAACCCATTGTTTCGCCCATCTTCATTCGACACATGAAAAGTTTGACGTATGTACTCTTAGTTTGTACTTGAAACTAGTCTGTAGATTTCAAGGAGTTGAATAAACTTCAAAAATGTTATTTTGTCAGCGTTTTTGGTGAGAGAATAACATTTTTAGAGTTGATTCAATTCTTTGAAATTTACAGTGTAGCAAATGCGGTGGCTTATTTGACAATGTTGTTTCTTGCTTTCTTTTCGCTACACTTCATTTGCATGATAAGTTTTCTCATTATTTGGCGATACTGTGATGTCTGCGGCGATTGAAGACATGCACTTTGTGTCTAGGTATAGCCTTGGTTTTTTGGTTTAAATCGTTTCAGCTTTCATTCAAGTTATAAGAAAACGAACAAAATAAAACCAGAATAGAAATATCGCCATAGGCATATTGGCGATGTTTTGGGTGTTAACAACGGCGGAAGTGGTAGGCGGTTTTGACATGTAATTGCGAAATTGGAGATTTTTATAGTTAACCATGCAGAGGTGAACAGTTAGTTTATCCCTGCAGGACAGCAGATGATGATCGACTTCAGACTGTTGACAGGCACTTGCAAGGGAAAAGGTTCACATCTATCAATTCTATATACCTTCTACAACAGAAAAAGAGTTAACAATATTTTCTCACTCTGATAACTGTAGGGTGACCACATTACGAGAAAGAGAAACAGATACATAATTGGTTACGCCATATTGAGTAAAGGACCTCGGTAGGTTTGTATTGCGCAAATGAAGATCTGAGCTTGACAGATCAAAAACTTTGTATGTTGTTAGTTATAAGTGAAAGTCTGGGCTCCATTTTAAAGCATAATTCTTTTGTTCAAATTCTAGATGACAATGAGCAAGATTTCTGAAAGTTTTGTGATTATTTGTCTTCTTGGTTTAACCAGTGTGACCTATGTGACACTCGGCAACTCAGGTATTGCAGGAAAGCACGGGATTTCGATGGCACAATCGTCAAATCAAGGGCCTTGCATCTCTGAGGTCGTGGCTTCGATCTTCATGACATTTATGCAGTCAGTCTAGGCTCTTATTAGTTAGCGTTATTCTGTGTTTTATTAAAATACTCAGTGGTTCCTGGAATTACTACTGAATTAAGATAAGTCAGATAACAGTACACTGATGTAAGCAGATTTGTGATTCATTCTCTCCTGTGCTTCCATGGTTTTCGGCTCCAGAACCTCTGGTTTTGTTACTCACAAAGAACTAAACCTTCGATCATAACTGTGCGTGATCACACATGGGTCGTATAGTCTCGACCAACTTGAGAAGATGGCGATTTTGCTCTGTGGTGTTATCGAGTTTAAATTTAAAAATGAAAAGTGGCAGTCAAAGGCGCTCTAGTAAAGGTTAAGCTGCGCCTTTCCATCTCTTCATACTGACGTGGAAAAGTTATTAGCACCCTCTGAACCTTCGAACTCAACCTTAAAATACAATAAGATTTCTCTAGTTACATTTTAAACATGAAATACATGTAACAATAATATGAATACCCGTGAATGAGTGCATGGAACACGCTCGTGTGTGAACGTATTCTTAAAATACTAATGGTAATACTGTGTTATTTAGAATGTAAATCTCCACTTGGTATGGCAGATGGCAGAATTAAAGACTCACAGATCACAGTCTCTAGTTTTAATAGAGAAGCATATGGTTGGCAGGCTCGTCTACACCAAAATATCGAAATTTGGAGAGCATGGTGTCCAGATGTGTGTGGAGGGAAAAAAACTGAAAAGAATTACGACCAGTATATTCAGATTGATTTGTTAAATGTGACAAAAATCACAGGAATTGCAACACAAGGACGAGAATATAATGGAGGAAGAGAAAAGGCTAAGGACTATAAACTATCATACAGAAAAGATGGTGGAGTGTGGCATTTTTACCAGGAAAAAGATCAAGATGCGAAGGTAAATTTGATAAAGATGTTTCATGAATAGAAATTCTGCATGAAACTTACACCTACTTATATATCTTTGAGACCTTATTATGTGATCCTCTGAACCTAAAAGTTCAGCGTGGGATGCTAAGATGTTTATCTACATGTTGCTCATATTAGTTTGCGAATAAACACAGCAAGCATATGATAAATCATCCTGATTCGAGTGTTAAAAATGTCTACTCTGTTTCAGATATTTCGTGGAAACAATGATGTATCCACTGTTGTACGACATGATCTAGACCCTGCAATTATGGCGAGGTACATCAGGGTTCATCTAGGTTATTATACGGGTACCAATGCATGTATGAGGCTATAGAGCTATATGGTTGTGTGGTTGAACAAAATAAAACAGGTTAGTGGGTTAACCACAATCTTTGCCCATGTGTCTTGCTATATGCCATTAAAGTACAATGCGTCTATATGGCCAGCTCTTTGTATTGTTATTTTAAATTTTCCTCTGTCTAACGTCGGAAGATTTTACTCATCAAGAGGAAAGTACATATTGGGAATTATAAAATAGCAAACTTAAATTATTCGAATTAGTTTTAACTATATATTAATCATGTTTTAACTCATTTTATTAGCACTAATAAAGATCCAGGCTTTCAGATTGAAAGCGCCAATGAATAAACGTATTGGTTCCACTAACCAATGAAAATATTATATTATCGTCATGTTGACAAATATTATAAGCATGCATATAAATATATTTTAATGTCAGTTGTACAGATTACCAAGACTGGTACTGGAATACGTACAGATAACAGTACACGTTTACACATTTATACCACAATTTATGCCGAAACAAAAGCTGGATGTGAAGGCAAGTATATAAATGTCATGGTGGGTTTGAACAATGGCGCTTGAATATACTCAATGTTCTGATACAATGGTGTGACCCTTTGACCTCTGTGACTGGGGTTCAATTCCTGCAATATTCAGTTGCCTGATTTCAAGTTCATCTCAGTCATATGTGAGAAGAGTGCTTTCAGTTTGACTCTACCAAACTGACTGCAGGTTTTCTCTAGTTTCCTCCTGTAGTAACCCTATGAGATGATTCTTACTGGACCTCTAGGGAAAACAGTTTAGAACTGATAGAGCTATCCAATATAAATACAGTTAGTTTAGTTTAGATTTCCTCCTGTAGTAACACTGGATCAATAAGAGATGATCCTGACTAGACCTCTAGGGAAAACAGTTTAGAACTGATAGAGCTATCCAATATAAATACAGTTAGTTTAGTTTAGATTTCCTCCTGTAGTAACACTGGATCAATAAGAGATGATCCTGACTAGATCTCTAGGGAAAACAGTTTAGAACTGATAGAGCTATCCAGTATAAATAAAGTTAGTTTAGTTTAGGTTTCTTCCTGTAGTAACACTGGATCAATAAGAGATGATTCTTACTAGACCTCTAGGAAGAACAGTTTAGAACTAATAGAACTATAATTCAGTATAAATAAAGTTAGTTTAGTTTAGGTTTCCTCTTGTAGTAACACTGGATCAATAAGAGATGATCCTTACTGGATCTCTAGGGAGAACAGTTTAGAACTGATAGAGCTATCCAGTATAAATAAAGTTAGTTTGGTTTAGGTTTCCTCCTGTAGTAACACTGGATCAATAAGAGATGATCCTTACTGAACCTCTAGGGAAAATAGTTTAGAACTGATAGAGCTATCCAGTATAAATAAAGTTAGTTTAGTTTAGGTTTTCTCCTGCAGATGATTCTTACTGGACCTCTAGGAAGAATAGTTTAGAACTGATAGAGCTATTTAGTATAAATAGAGTTAGTTTAGGGTTCTCCTTGTAGTAACACTAGATGAATAAGAGATAGTATTTATGTTCTCTTATTTTCCCATTAAATTTAATTATTAGAGAACTCAACAAATTCAATTGCAATGTTCTTCGCGGGTGTTGCTGTAACCTTAGCCATTGTACTTATTGTCTTACTTGTAATTCTACTATACAATAAACGACACCAAGCTTCGACGTTATCGAGCAGCGTTCTTGAAATAGACACAGTTGAAATGCAAAATGCAACAGCACCATCGTAGAATAATCAGGTAAGTGTTTCTAAGTTTCCTGCAGGCATATTGTTCATAATTAAGCTGGAGTGGAAAAATAGGATTGCTCTGGGGCTTAAAACACAATGTCTATTTAAAATAAACTAACTTTATTTATACTGGATAGCTCTATCAGTTTTAAACCGTAGGTCCATGCAGTAAAGGTCATCCCTATCACTATGTTTACTTACCTTGCATTGAGCTAAGAATTTTCGCCATTCGGCTAAGAATTTTCGCCATTCGGCATAAGAACTTTCACATCTTACCTTGTACTTCTTTTGTCATTGAGGTCTTTTTCCACGCTTTTCTTCCAAACACTCATTTGCGATCTTCGGACGTTTGCCATCCTACATCCTCATGGCAACACCAAGCCAAGTCAGCCTCCCTTTTTTTGTTAATACAGGAGCCAGATTATAGTCCAGCAGATGATGAAACAGAACCGTACGAAGAAGTCCAAATCTCCCCATCTTCTGTTTACGCTGAGCCAGACAGAAACCGACAAGACGAAGCAACAAATGATGGTGCCTACCAGAAATTGTCAAAACGCGACTCCGATTATGACTATGTGATACCTGCAGATGGCTTGCCTTCTTCTGTTTACGCTAAGCCTGACAGAAACCAACAAAACTACGAAACAACAAATGACGGTGCCCACCAGAAATTGTTAAAACGTGACTCAGATTATGTAATACCTGCAGATGGCTCGCCATCTTCTGTTTACGCTGAGCTTGACAGAAACCGACAAGACGAAACAACAAATGATGGTGCCTACCAGAAATTGTTAAAACGCGACTCCGATTATGACTATGTGATACCTGCAGATGGCCCGCCTTCTTCTGTTTACGCTAAGCCTGACAGAAACCAACAAAACGAAACAACAAATGATGGTACCTGCCAGAAATTGTTAAACCGCGACTCAGATTATGTAATACCTGCAGATGGCTCGCCATCTTCCGTTTATGCTGAGCTTGACAGAAACCGACAAGACGAAGCAACAAATGATGGTGATTACCAGAAATTGTTAAAACGCGACTCAGATTATGTAATACCTGCTCATGCTGAAGCAGAGTCATCATACGAAGAAGTTGGAAAGATAAAAACATCCCCTGGCTACACAGAGCTGGGCAACACGAAACGAGTACAGGATGACAGCGCTGATTACCAAAAATTGATAAAGAAATGACAGAGTGTGTTTGGATATTAATTTTTATTTAGAATTCTAACCATTTGTCACTTGTCAGTAAGATATTTTGTAAGATCCAAATTGCCGTTTCATCGCTACCGGTTGAGATATTTTGTAATATAAGTAATATAGTTTTCAATATATAAGCGTTACGCGGGAGGATAACAACAACAACAATATTCTTAATCCATAAATATGGACACTGACTTTCCAAAATAACCAATAAGCTAAAAGATGATGGGAAGTCAGTTTGCAATAATACTAATGACAATAATTTAATAGATTTATATAGCGCCATTTCCCGAAGCTCAATGGCCCTTTACAAGTTTGGTAGGCTAGAATAGATATTAAAGAGTACGAATTACATTAGCTAGTTTAAAAGTGTTACAATTACAATATTTACAAGCATGCAATTTAATAGAGTACAATCTAATCTATGAGAAAAATATTAAGAACGATAAGAATGTTAGTTAAAAGCTTCCTTGTATAAGAATGTCTTTATAGTCTATGTAATATTTACAACATGAGCGGCCGTGTTGTATCGGATATACAAACTCGAGCCGAAGGCGAGAGTTTGTATATCCGATACAACACGGACGCGAATGTTGTAAACAACTTAAAAAACGACTCATCTTATAAGTTCATTGGCGAAGTAATTTTAAAAATAAACGTTGTCTAAGCCGAGAAAATCAAAGTTAAAGTTTATGTAAATCAACATGAATCTGTATCACATATACAGATACGACACGCTAATGATTTTTCTTTGTGTTTTCTTCATGAATTATTAATGAGTTTTTTAAATGTTAATTACTAATTAAATTACATAAAGCACACATACAAATTAGTGAGAAATACAATACTGTTTCAAGTCTATACTAGCCACTTAATTAATTAAATGAATTGTACATACACACTTGAAGACAGACGTATATTATAATACAAAAAAACATATACTCGAGATTTTTTAAAAATTTTTACAAAATCAGTATTTAGGCCTACTTATAAAATCTTGTTTTAAATATTTTTTGAATTTTTTAAATGAACGAGACTTAACATTAAGATTAATTGTATTCCTAACATAAGCGTATCGTATCTTTATAATATGTGATAGAGATTTCCCTTAATTAATCTACATAAACTTAAACTTTAACAACCTATTTTTTGAAAACTACTTCCCGAATGAACTTTATACTATAGATCGATCGTTTTTGAAGCACTGATTTAAAACATTCGCAGTGCGTGTTTTATCCGACCTAAAGATACTCGGCTTCGCCTCGTATCTTTATATCTGATAATTTGATAAAACATTGCTGCTCATGTTTTAAATAGTACATAATTTGTTTTTATTTTTTGGGAGATAGTAAGATTGCATGTGATTCTGTGAAGCCACTGAACGCATGTATTATAATTATGAACCTTTTCACTGACATGAAAAACAATTCAAGGGCAGGACTGAGGTAACATCTGATGATAAAATTAAAAAAATATATTGCAATATGAAAGGTGACAAGATCACACAGCTTTATAATCTTCAATGATTTAAATATTGGGCTAGAGCTACTGCTAATCGAATTTGGATTTAGAATTTCTTAATTTTAAAAATGTTGACATTTAACGGAACAAGAAAGTTAAGAAACTTCGAACTAAACTACATCTTGTAATTGAAATTATTCTTCTTGAATTGAAATTATTCTTCTTGATTTCAAGAATTGAGGTAAACGAAACGTGACCATGAAGATAACGCCTCTTACCAAAACGTGAGGTTTTGGAATCACATCACATACGAATAAATCTTACTACCCAGCAGGCAAAATGACGTTTATCCAACGTTGAATCAACGTTGGAAATGACCTTCCAGACGTTGGATAGACGTTGAAAAAGGGTTGACTATGCAAATTGGATCGACGTTACTGTTTCGACTTTGAAACAACGTTGAAATTAGGTTGCCAATCTCGTCAACCATAATTCAACGTTGAATCCACGTTAAAACAACGTTGAGATTGGTTCACAAATCGACGTCGTACATTTAACCATGAATGAACGTTAATTCAACGTCTGTTGGCTGCTGTTGAACCAATGTTTGTAAAACAACGTCAGAGCAACGTAGATATTAGGTTGTCGACGTCGCAACCTTTTTTCTACCAAATTCCAACGTTGAAACAACGTCGTGTGCCCGGTGGGTATGTACATACATATTCATTAATAGTTGTAAGATTCCTGTTAAGATATTTATGGTAAAGCCGGTAAAGTTGGATTCCGGCTGAGAACTAGCTTTCCTCGGAACCAGAATAGTTTAATGGAAGAAACCACTGTATTGACAGTAAAAGATGTGGAAACTGGCCAAGTTCCTGGCGGCCCAAATGTCAAGGAGTAATATAGCTTGTCCTTTAGCAATATAGCATAACCTACTTACAATTTTAAGTACCACTGTAAATGTCAAGGAATAATATAGCTTGTCCTTTAGCAATATAGCATGACCTATACTTACAATTGTAAGTACCACTGTAAATGTCAAGGAGTTGAACCAACTCCAAAAGAGTTATTTTGTCACCATTTTTGGTGCCGACAGAATAACAGTTTTGGAGGTGATTCAACTCCTTGACATTTACAGTGTAGGTCATGCTAATAAAGCTTTTTCAAACAAGCAGTCATTGCGGAAGTCTGCTTCTTTTTTATTTATTTGTTTATTGTTTTTGAAATACGATTATACGGTACCCCACTAATCCTGTTTCGGAAAAAATAGCGCAAATCCAGGGACGCCGGAACGATGTGAAGGCAAGGGGGGCAGATTTTCGTGAAAGGGCACTTTTGAATTGATATATACTAAGAGATGTTTGCAAAACATCGGGAGTTGAACTTCGCCTAATTCTCCGGGTCTCCGCCAGGCGATTGTGCTATTCTTGAAGGTCGATGACTGCATTTCTTGCGTTTTCTGAAGCAAATTGGTAAAGGATTTGCACTAACATTTCTGACAATTCGCTATTTCGCCAAGGCAATCCTTTAAATTGAAAGGGCACCTTTGCCCCCCTTGCCCTCCTGGCAAAGGGCAACGGGGGCGGCTGCCCCTCCTACCCCCCCAGTTCCGGCGTCCCTGCGCAAATCTGACCACCCTGCCAAATTAAAGAAAACAAACAAACAAACAAAATCGCACACATGGAAATTAAAATGTATGTTTGCCGCGTTCTTGTTGTCGAGAAAAATGATCATTTCACATTTAAGTGATATGCTAATTCTTTCTCCTCCAATTCGCTCAGAAAAAATTCGACATTTTAGATTTAAAATTTAAATAATCCGCAAAAAGGCGGGAGGAGTCTGCAAACAAACTGTTCAGCGATTATCCATTTCAAAAGAAACATGGCTGCCTTATGGCTGCCAAAGGCACAGGCCCAAAAGAAGAGATCACTGAACAAACAAGCAATTGCACCAGTGATGAAATTTTGGTTTTATAAATGGTGTTACACTTTCAATTTGCTTGATTCTTTTCATCGAAAAGTTAGCTGTATTTCAGAAGATTTGGCAGAAGACCAGCTAGCCCCCAAGGCGATATTTTTATCAAATTTGATAGAGCATTTTAATACAGAGGATACTTTTGCGAACGCGGCATGAAAATTTCAACAAGTATGTGGACCACAATGGAAGCTAAAAGGTTGGCTATTTGCTAGTTTTTGGTGGAATTATAAGGTTTTGGATAGGCGAAAAAACATTTGACAAAATTGCAATTGGCAGAAAATGTATATTGCCAAATAAAAAAAATATATAACGAAAGTCACCGAACTGTGGAATCGCATCAAAAATTCGTATACTGGCCACTCCCACAAACGTCTACGACCGCACCTACATAGTTTTGCATGTTTACAATTCTAATTTTGAACAGCCAATCGACGTTTAATTGTAATTGTTACCAAGAACCGGATTGGCTGTTCAAAATTAGAATTGTAAACATGCAAAACTATGTAGGTGCAGTCGTAGACGTTTGTGGGAGTGGCCGATATACAAATTTTTGATGCGATACCACACTTTGGTGACTTTCGTAATACTTGGTTAGCGTCCTCTGGTTAGCGTCACACTCACACAAATTTTCAGAGGCGGGAGGGCGGGTTTTTTTTATTTTTACTCATTTTTAAAAATTTTTTAATAGTATTTTTTTCCACCATATTGGTGATATTTTTTGTACTGATGTTGCGAAGGCCGCCATTTTGCAATCTCGTTCTCCGAGCCTACAATCCTCAGGAAGGAACATGAGGCTCTGGGATAATCCCGTTTCAGGGAGGAATCTGATTGGCTGTTGATATAGAATGCACAATCCAATCTTGACCAGGATTCCTGGCTCCCAGCAACGGATTATCCCAGATCAAATAAACCATTCCGTCTCTTCTTCTTTGACATTAAAAGACTCGAGCGCGAACGAAAATACAAAAATATTGGGGATGCCTTTTATGTAGATATACTGTTGCGAAGAATGCATGAATGTGAATATTATATTTCAGCACACTTTGTTGTTGAATGTGTGAATGTGGATATTATATTTCAGACATTTCAGCCAGGATTATCATAGCACGATAGCGTGCGTACCAAGATGCTTTTTGAGTGAATATTATATTGCAGGCAAGATTATCATAGCACGATAGCACGCATGTTTTGTGAATATTACACAAACCGGATGCCTATTTCAGGCAGCTTATGATTTTATTTTATATAAATTTTATATATTTTATATTAAGGTATCAGTTTACCATCACCCACCTGCGTATTTTTTCATTATTTGACAAATTTGTATAGCAAGTGTTTCAAAAATGGCTTTCTGTTGAAATTGTTGGCAAATACTGACTTTGTTTATACAGTTAGCGAAGCCATAGCCTGCGTAGTGAAACCACAGCGAAACGGAGTCAAAGACATAGCTTGATAGGCCAATGATAGTTCAGAAGCTAGCAAAAAGCTCAAGAATCGTCAAAATTTTCTTGGATTTTTTTTGTCAAATTTTGGATTTTTAGCTCAAAATTTGACAAATTCAAATCATGAAAAATAATGAACAATGAATAATAAAAAAAAATCCACATTAACTTTTGAAATTTTGCATTGGCCTTACAGATAGTGTTATTAATTGGTAATAGTTTTTCAGTTATTTATGAAGTATTTTTTCGATTTTTTCTTCAATATATAGTAAGATGCTATATTTTTAAAGTTTGGGTCAAGATTATTCCAGATATCAACTCCCTTGTTAGAGAGTGAATAACATATAGTTTGTTCTTTGATAAGACTTATGAAGTTTCATATAGAATTTTTTGTATGTCTATGAACCTCACTATTTGAAATATAGTAGTTTGCAAAAAATTCAGGTAAATTTTTTAAGTGATGATATCTGAACATGAACAAACTGGTAAGATAATTGTTTAGTTTGCTTACGTTTATTATATTGGGTGTGTGGTCATATTCATATATATTCGTGTTCTGCGTTATTAATTTCTTTTGAAATCGATTGTTTTTATGGTCTGTGAACACGAATATATGAATATGAGCCCCAATTATCGAGCTTGCTACGGCACTGATTGCTCAATTTTTACAATCATAGGTAATACTTAATGGTGTACCACATCCATAGAAATAATACATATAGAATGTGTACCCCTATCTTTTTTCAGTAAAAATTTTGTTTCTACAAAATGGCGGATTTCAAATGGATTTCGTTTAGTATTTTCAATCATTGTTATGATTTTTAAAGATTTTTTTTTCTGTTACGAATTATTACATTTGCCGACATTAAAAAATTTTGGCATGACCGCAGAATTTTTTCAAATCACGAAAACGATTCAACATACAAAAAGAAATCATCTAAATCTTTTGTGCATTTATTTGTCCAGTTTTGGAATACGCCTCACCTGTATGGCTTTTTTCTCTCCCTCAATTCCTCGCTGACAAAATCGAGAGTATATTACAAAAATAGGTACGCAGTGCGTACATGTTGCATGTTTTCTGAAACTTATGATGTGCTATAGCGCTTATAACCTTTGGTACAACTGGCGTGAAACTTAAAATATTGATTCAGCAAGTTTAATAATATCAATATATTTATTGAAATATAGCTTTTATGTCAAAATAAGAAACTTAAGATTAACTTAAGATTCTCACACGAATAGGCAATGTTTTTATGAACGACCGTTCATCGTTAGTTGCAAGCGACGGTAATAACAAGGTCAAGCTCGGTCAAGGTTTTATCGAAAGCAACTGACTGTTCGATTTCCTTTACAAATTTATAACTAAGTAACGTTATTTCCTATAGATTTAGCTTTATTGTATCTTTTTAAAGGTATAAAAAACCGTGGAAACGGTGAATTACTATAATAGAATGAAAATATTATTAATTAAACTATGATTGAAATAATCAGTAATCATATAAACTATGATTGAAATTGTCATTAATATTAAACAAGCAGTTGAAAACTCCAAACTCGAAGAATTTTGAAATTCATTTTTCGAAAGTTTCTCCTTTTCCAAGTGGAAACACTAACTAGTACCCAGTCTCCGAAATTCCCCGGAAAATTTAAATGTTATGAAATTTTTACACGTGGAAATGTTGAATATAATGTTAAACAGCTGCAGGAAATTTGTTTGAATGAAGATTCGCTATTGAAAATTTGAAAGAAACCTTAACTCTTTCTCGACATGTGACATTTTTCACGGCAAGCAATATTTTGATTCAACTGTTTTATAACGTAAATATTTCAGTGCGTATTCACCCCCCTTAAAAACAAAGAACACCATTGGAATCTTAACAAAATAAGCTTTTCATCGGGG